TTAGTCTACGGACACTGTTAGTCCACGTGCTGTGTTAGTCCACGTGCTGTGTTAGTCCACGTGCTGTGTTAGTCTATGTGCAGTGTTAGTCTATGTGCAGTGTTAGTCTATGTGCAGTGTTAGTCTATGTGTAGTGTTAGTCTATGTGCAGTGTTAGTCTATGTGCAGTGTTAGTCTATGTGAGTGTTAGTCTACGGACACTGTTAGTCCACGTGCTGTGTTAGTCCACGTGCTGTGTTAGTCCACGTGCTGTGTTAGTCCAGGTGCAGTGTTAGTCCACGTGCAGTGTTAGTCCACGTGCAGTGTTAGTATACGGACACTGTTAGTCCACGTGCAGTGTTAGTCCACGTGCAGTGTTAGTCCACGTGCTGCGTGAATCAACGTCCACGGCCAATCTACGTGTGCAGTGATGAGTCTGCGTCACTCCAGACACTGCCCAGGGTGGCATCGGGGTGGGTCCCTGGGACCGACAGCGACACAGGCGAGCTGGGCTCATGCGCATTCCTCGGCCACCCCAACCAACCCACCCTACAAACAAAGTCGCACCTAAGGAGATGAGCAAGACGTTTCACGATGCCAACGTGAAGTTTGTTTCGGGAAACCGAACACCTCACGGCCTTTGGCCAAGGGCGTTCGCGAGAGTTTTTGCCTCTCGTCACGCAACTCCCGCCGCTGGTTTCAACGACGTGACTCAACGCCCGTTGAATGAATGTTCGTCTGCGTGCAGTGTTAGTCTGGGTGCAGTGTTAGTCTGGGTGCAGTGTTAGTCTGGGTGCAGTGTTAGTCTGGGTGCAGTGTTAGTCTGGGTGTAGTGTTAGTCTATGTGCAATGTTAGTCTATGTGCAGTGTTAGTCTATGTGCAGTGTTAGTCTGGGTGCAGTGTTAGTCTGGGTGCAGTGTTAGTCTGGGTGCAGTGTTAGTCTGGGTGCAGTGTTAGTCTGGGTGCAGTGTTAGTCTTTGTGCAGTGTTAGTCCGGGTGCAGTGTTAGTCTACGTGCAGTGTTAGTCTATGTGAGTGTTAGTGTATGGTCAGTGTTGAGTCTATGGTGCAGTGTTAGTCTGGGTGCAGTGTTAGTCTAGTGGCAGTGTTAGTCTATGTGCAGTGTTAGTCTGGGTGCAGTGTTAGTCTATGTGCAGTGTTAGTCTGGGTGCAGTGTTAGTCTACGGCCAGTGTTGGTCTATGTGTAGTGTTAGTCTATGTGCAGTGTTAGTCTGGGTGCAGTGTTAGTCTGTGTGCAGTGTTAGTCTATGTGCAGTGTTAGTCTATGTGCAGTGTTAGTCTGGGTGCAGGGTTAGTCTGGGTGTAGTGTTAGTCTATGTGCAGTGTTAGTCTATGTGCAGTGTTAGTCTGGGTGCAGTGTTAGTCTGGGTGCAGTGTTAATCTGGGTGCAGTGTTAGTCTGGGTGCAGTGTTAGTCTATGTGCAGTGTTAGTCTATGTGCAGTGTTAGTCTGGGTGCAGGGTTTGTCTGGGTGCAGGGTTAGTCTGGGTGCAGTGTTAGTCTGGGTGCAGTGTTAGTCTGGGTGCAGTGTTAGTCTGGGTGCAGTGTTAGTCTGGGTGCAGTGTTAGTCTGGGTGCAGGGTTAGTCTATGTGTAGTGTTAGTCTATGTGCAGTGTTAGTCTGGGTGCAGTGTTAGTCTGGGTGCAGTGTTAGTCTGGGTGCAGTGTTAGTCTGGGTGCAGTGTTAGTCTATGTGCAGTGTTAGTCTATGTGCAGTGTTAGTCTATGTGCAGTGTTAGTCTGGGTGCAGGGTTAGTCTGGGTGCAGTGTTAGTCTGGGTGCAGTGTTAGTCTGGGTGCAGTGTTAGTCTGGGTGCAGTGTTAGTCTGGGTGCAGTGTTAGTCTGTGTGCAGTGTTAGTCTATGTGCAGTGTTAGTCTATGTGCAGTGTTAGTCTGGGTGCAGTGTTAGTCTACGGCCAGTGTTGGTCTATGTGTAGTGTTAGTCTATGTGCAGTGTTAGTCTGGGTGCAGTGTTAGTCTGTGTGCAGTGTTAGTCTATGTGCAGTGTTAGTCTATGTGCAGTGTTAGTCTGGGTGCAGGGTTAGTCTGGGTGTAGTGTTAGTCTATGTGCAGTGTTAGTCTATGTGCAGTGTTAGTCTGGGTGCAGTGTTAGTCTGGGTGCAGTGTTAGTCTGGGTGCAGTGTTAGTCTGGGTGCAGTGTTAGTCTATGTGCAGTGTTAGTCTATGTGCAGTGTTAGTCTATGTGCAGTGTTAGTCTGGGTGCAGTGTTAGTCTGGGTGCAGTGTTAGTCTTTGTGCAGTGTTAGTCCGGGTGCAGTGTTAGTCTACGTGCAGTGTTAGTCTATGTGAGTGTTAGTGTATGGTCAGTGTTGAGTCTATGGTGCAGTGTTAGTCTGGGTGCAGTGTTAGTCTAGTGGCAGTGTTAGTCTATGTGCAGTGTTAGTCTGGGTGCAGTGTTAGTCTATGTGCAGTGTTAGTCTGGGTGCAGTGTTAGTCTACGGCCAGTGTTGGTCTATGTGTAGTGTTAGTCTATGTGCAGTGTTAGTCTGGGTGCAGTGTTAGTCTGTGTGCAGTGTTAGTCTATGTGCAGTGTTAGTCTATGTGCAGTGTTAGTCTGGGTGCAGGGTTAGTCTGGGTGTAGTGTTAGTCTATGTGCAGTGTTAGTCTATGTGCAGTGTTAGTCTGGGTGCAGTGTTAGTCTGGGTGCAGTGTTAGTCTGGGTGCAGTGTTAGTCTGGGTGCAGTGTTAGTCTATGTGCAGTGTTAGTCTATGTGCAGTGTTAGTCTGGGTGCAGGGTTAGTCTGGGTGCAGGGTTAGTCTGGGTGCAGTGTTAGTCTGGGTGCAGTGTTAGTCTGGGTGGAGTGTTAGTCTGGGTGCAGTGTTAGTCTGGGTGCAGTGTTAGTCTGGGTGCAGGGTTAGTCTATGTGTAGTGTTAGTCTATGTGCAGTGTTAGTCTGGGTGCAGTGTTAGTCTGGGTGCAGTGTTAGTCTGGGTGCAGTGTTAGTCTGGGTGCAGTGTTAGTCTATGTGCAGTGTTAGTCTATGTGCAGTGTTAGTCTATGTGCAGTGTTAGTCTGGGTGCAGGGTTAGTCTGGGTGCAGTGTTAGTCTGGGTGCAGTGTTAGTCTGGGTGCAGTGTTAGTCTGGGTGCAGTGTTAGTCTGTGTGCAGTGTTAGTCTATGTGCAGTGTTAGTCTATGTGCAGTGTTAGTCTGGGTGCAGTGTTAGTCTACGGCCAGTGTTGGTCTATGTGTAGTGTTAGTCTATGTGCAGTGTTAGTCTGGGTGCAGTGTTAGTCTGTGTGCAGTGTTAGTCTATGTGCAGTGTTAGTCTATGTGCAGTGTTAGTCTGGGTGCAGGGTTAGTCTGGGTGTAGTTTTAGTCTATGTGCAGTGTTAGTCTATGTGCAGTGTTAGTCTGGGTGCAGTGTTAGTCTGGGTGCAGTGTTAGTCTGGGTGCAGTGTTAGTCTGGGTGCAGTGTTAGTCTATGTGCAGTGTTAGTCTATGTGCAGTGTTAGTCTATGTGCAGTGTTAGTCTGGGTGCAGGGTTAGTCTGGGTGAAGTGTTAGTCTGGGTGCAGTGTTAGTCTGGGTGCAGTGTTAGTCTGGGTGCAGTGTTAGTCTGGGTGCAGTGTTAGTCTGGGTGCAGTGTTAGTCTGGGTGCAGGGTTAGTCTATGTGTAGTGTTAGTCTATGTGCAGTGTTAGTCTATGTGCAGTGTTAGTCTGGGTGCAGTGTTAGTCTGTGTGCAGTGTTAGTCTATGTGCAGTGTTAGTCTGGGTGCAGTGTTAGTCTATGTGCAGTGTTAGTCTGGGTGCAGTGTTAGTCTGCGTGCAGTGTTAGTCTATGTGCAGTGTTAGTCTATGTGCAGTGTTAGTCTATGTGCAGTGTTAGTCTATGTGCAGTGTTAGTCTGGGTGCAGTGTTAGTCTGGGTGTAGTGTTAGTCTACGTGCAATGTTAGTCTATGTGCAGTGTTAGTCTATGTGCAGTGTTAGTCTGGGTGCAGTGTTAGTCTGGGTGCAGTGTTAGTCTATGTGCAGTGTTAGTCTGGGTGCAGTGTTAGTCTGCGTGCAGTGTTAGTCTATGTGCAGTGTTAGTCTATGTGCAGTGTTAGTCTATGTGCAGTGTTAGTCTATGTGCTGTGTTAGTCTATGTGAGTGTTAGTCTATGTGCAGTGTTAGTGTACGTGAGTGTTAGTCTATGGGCAGTGTTAGTCTATGGGTAGTGTTAGTCTATGTGAGTGTTAGTCTATGGTGCAGTGTTAGTCTATTGGCAGTGTTAGTCTATGTGCAATGTTAGTCTATGTGCAGTGTTAGTCTATGTGAGTATTAGTCTATGTGCAGTGTTAGTGTACGTGAGTGTTAGTATATGTGCAGTGTTAGTCTATGGGTAGTGTTAGTCTATGTGCAGTGTTAGTCTATGGTGCAGTGTTAGTCTATGTGCAATGTTAGTCTATGTGCAGTGTTAGTCTATGTGCAATGTTAGTCTATGGGCAGTGTTAGTCTACGTGCAGTGTTAGTGTACGTGCAGTGTTAGTGTACGTGCAGGGTTAGTGTACGTGCAGTGTTAGTCTATGGGTAGTGTTAGTCTATGTGCAGTGTTAGTCTATGTGCAGTGTTAGTCTATGGGCAGTGTTAGCTAAGTGCAGTGTTAGTCTATGTGCAGTGTTAGTCTATGTGCAGTGTTAGTCTATGGGTAGTGTTAGTATATGTGCAGTGTTAGTCTATGTGCAGTGTTAGTCTATGTGCAGTGTTAGTCTATGTGCAGTGTTAGTCTATGTGCAGTGTTAGTCTATGTGCAATGTTAGTCTACGTGCAGTGTTAGTCTACAAAGACACCTACACACCTACACATACACCTACACACGTAAATTCCCAACCACCAACACACCCACCCACCCACACAACAACCCACCCACCCACCCACACAACAACGCACCAACCCACCCACCCACACAGCGATGATTCATTCACGGAATGCTGACTCGGCACCCCCCCCGTGCCCACAATCTGTATATAAGTGCGATCTCCTCCACCTGTCAGCTCAGGTATCTCTACGCATTCCTCTCGCCGCGAGACGATCGTCCGTCACCCCCGTCCACCCGCGACCGCGTCTCCCTCTGACCCTGTCACCCATCCCGCGCCGCGTCTGCGTGATCGAGGCCTCCACGGCGGTGATCACCATGAGGCTCTCGTCGAGCGTCCGCCTAGGGCCTCTCCTCCTCCTCCTCCTCCACCTCGTCCTCCTCCTCGTCCTCGTCCCACCGGGATCCGAGGCCACTCATCTGCGCGGTGGGACCATCTCGTGGAAGCAGTCAGAGGGTGACCAGGTGATGCCCGGCACTCACGTGCGAGCGCTCACCCACAATCCTCGGGGCTTTACGGTTTGAAGCAATCTCTGGGGGTGGGTTTTTTGATGATTTTTCAATTTTTTTTTCATTCATCTTTTCATCACGAGTTGGCTCATAATTGGCCTTGCACAGAGACACTGAGCCAGAATTGCAGAGATTCTGGGTTCAAATCCTGGGTCTGGGGCTCTCTCAGGCGGGGTTCATAATGGACGTGTCAGAGACACTGAGGCAGAGTTGAAGAGATTCTGGGTTCAAATCCTGGGTCTGAGGGCTTTCTCAGGGGGGTTCATAATGGCCGTGCCAGAGACACTGAGGCAGAGTATTGCAGAGATCCTGGGTCCAAGTCCTGGGTCTGGGGGCTTTCTCAGGTGGGTTCATAATGGCCGTGTCAGAGACACTGAGGCAGAGTTGCAGAGATCCTGGGTTCAAGTCTTGGGTCTGGGGGTTTCTCAAGGGGGTTCATAATGGCCGTGTCAGAGACACTGAGCGAGAATTGAAAATATCCTGGGTTCAAATCCTGGGTCTGGGGCTCTCTCAGGGGGGTTCATAATTGCCATGTCAGAGACACTGAGGCAGAGTTGCAGAGATCCTGGGTTCAAATCCTGGGTCTGGGGCTCTCTCAGGCGGGTTCATAATGGCCTTGCACAGAGATACTGAGGCAGAGTTGCAGAGATCCTGGGTTCAAGTCCTGGGTCTGAGGGTTTCTCAAGGGGGGTTCATAATGGCCGTGTCAGAGACACTGAGGCAGAGTTGCAGAGATTCTGGGTTCAAGTCCTGGGTGTGGGGGTCTCTCAGGGGGGTTCATAATGGCCATGTCAGAGACACTGAGCCAGAGTTGCAGAGATCCTGGGTTCAAATCCTGGGTCTGGGGTTTCTCTCAAGGGGGGGGGAGGGTTAATAATTTACCGTGTTAGAGACGCTGAGCGAGAATTGAAGAGATCCTGGGTTCAAATCCTGGGTCTGGGGCTCTCTCAAGGGGGTTCATAATGGCCGTGTCAGAGACACTGAGGCAGAGTTGAAGAGATTCTGGGTTCAAATCCTGGGTCTGAGGGCTTTCTCAGGGGGGTTCATAATGGCCTTGCACAGAGACACCGAGGCAGAGTTGCAGAGATCCTGGGTTCAAGTCCTGGGTCTGGGTGTCTCTTTCTCTCTCTCAGGGGGTTCAGAATGCTCTGTCACGGACACTGAGAGCCAGAGTTGCTGAGGGTGGATGCATATCTGAAACGGGCGCGTTTGACATTTGCAGTCTGAAATGTCAGTGTTTAACAGAGGTTCTGTTATGAGAATCGGTTTTCCCCTTTTTTCTGGCAACAAAACAGCTGTGTTAAGATGTTAAAACACCAAACTGAAACCTTTTACGAGAGATCATGTTAATGCATTGACCACAACACCTGTGGTCAGAATGCAAACAAACAAAAAACATACTCTGATAACAAATGTGGCATTGTCCTTGAAACCGATTGGTCTACACCAGAGACGGCTTTCTTTTGAGCCTCGTCTCAAAACGGTGTTAGACCAGAGTGGGTGAGTGGTTGGCTGAGTGAGTGGGTGTGTGGATGAGTTGGTGGGTGACTGGGTAATTGAGTGGGTGATTGAGTGGGTGACTAAGAGGGTGAGTGGGTGGGTGGGTGATTGAGTGGGTGAGTGGTTGGCGGAGTGAGTGGGTGAGTGGCTGGGTGAGAGGCTGGGTGAGTGGCTGGGTAAGTGGCTGGGTAAGTGGATGGGTGAATGCGTGAGTGAGTTGGTGGGTGAATGTGCGGGTGAGTTGGTTGAGTGAGTGGGTATTTGGTGGGTTAGTGGGTGATTGAGTGGGTGACAAAGAGGATGAGTGGGTGGGTGATTGAGTGGGTGAGTGGTTGGCTGAGTGAGCGGTTAAGTGGCTGGGTGAGTGGGTGGGTGAGTGAGTTGGTGGGTGAATGTGCGGGTGAGTTGGTGAGTGGGGGGAGTGAGTGGGTGTGTGGATGAGTTGGTGGGTGAGTGGGTAATTGGGTGGGTGAGTGGGTGATGGAGTGGGTGACTAAAAGGGCGAGTGGGTGGGTGATTGAGTGGGTGAGTGGTTGGCGGAGTGAGTGAGTGAGTGGCTGGGTGAGTGGCTGGGTGAGTGGGTGGGTGAGTGGGTGAGTGCGTTCGTGGGTGAATGTGCGGGTGAGTTGGTGAGTGGGGGGAGTGAGCGGGTGAGTTGGTGGGTGAGTGGGTAATTGGGTGGGTGTACTGGGTGGGTGAGTGGGTAATTGGGTGGGTGATGGAGTTGGTGACTAAGAGGGCGAGTGGGTGGGTGATTGAGTGGGTGAGTGGTTGAGTGGCTGGGTGAGTGGTTGGGTGAGTGAGTGAGTTGGTGGGTGAATGTGCGGGTGAGTTGGTGAGTGGGTGAGTTGGCTGGGTGAGTGGGTAATTGGGTGGGTTAGTGGGTGATTGAGTGGTTGGCTGAGTGAGTGGGCGATTTGGTGAGTGAGTGAGTGTGAACAGCCACTGAACAATCACCCATCACCCCCCACCCCCTCCCCGGGGCTCTGAGATATTTGCGATAAGAATGCGGCTTTTCGTGCCAGACTTCGAGAACCCTCCCCAAGGGGATGGGATGGTGTTGGCGGAGGGGGGGTGTGTGGGTCTGGTCGTGGTGAACTCGAAGCGATAATGACCATCCTCACGGCGTCTTAAATCCGACCGCTGAGCAAGCATCTTTAGAGGCACGTCGGAATCACCCGGGGATTCGGGGGTGGGTGGGGAGGGTGGGTGGGGAGGGTGTGAGTTGCTGGGGCTGGGGGGGGTTTAGCGTGCAACTTGCGTCTGTGTCGTCTACCCAGGCGGAGATCCATCAACCCCTCGGCCCCGTGTAGCCGGTAACAGAACGTCGGGGCTAGCGCTGTTGAGCTAGTAGCAGCGGCACCTATGGATAGGTGAGGATTTTGTTGTTGCTGTTGTTGTTGTTGTTGCTTTTATCAGTTTCGATTTTGTTAATTTTTTTTATTTTTTTCGTATTGTTTTCAATTTGTTATTTTTCTTTCCTTTTTATCATTTCATTTCAGTAGAATTTTGCGGCTTTTATATTTACGTGAATTTTTCCGAAAGAAGCGATAATATGGTACTATGAATAGGGCTGAACAAATGACTCGATTTCAAATCGAATCGAAATCGATCGCTATTTTGAAACGATGCGATGAGCAAATCACAAAAGCTGCGATTTTTTTTTAGCGATTTGAAAAGTCCTCTAACTTTCTTATTAGAATTGTTTTTATTTTTTTTATTATTATTATAACTTTATTTATTAAACTTAACAATTGTTGTGAGTGGGTTGAATGTGTTTCAATTAAAACATTTTAATAAATCCATGTTGGAATCTTGATTTGAAGCTTTCGTGACTGCAGAAATCCCTCCACAGCAGCAACAACAACAACAACCACCGTCATTGGCCACTGGGTGGTGGCGACGTCACCACGACGCCTGTGCCAGGCTAGGTGCACGTTGAGGCCACGTGAAGCGTCGAACGCCCGCCGGCAGGAGGTCACGGCGGGGTCGAGGCGCACAATCACACACACTCACACACACTCACTCACACACACTCACTCACACACACTCACACACACTCACTCACACACACTCACACACACTCACTCACACACACTCACTCACACACACTCACACACACTCACTCACACACACTCACTCACACACACTCACACACACTCACTCACACACTCACACACACACTCACACACACACTCACACTCACTCACACACACTCACTCACACACACTCACTCACACACAATCACACACACTCACACTCACTCACACACTCACACACTCACTCTCACACACTCACACACGCACACACTCACTCACTCTCACACTCACACACTCACTCATTCACACACTCACTCACACAACAACAACAACCGCCATTCGCCACTAAGTGGCGGTGACGTCACCACGACGCTTGTGCCAGGCCATGTGCACCTTGAGGCCACGTGAAGTGTCGGGCGCCCGCTGGCAGGAGGTCACGGGGCAGACCCAGCAGGTGCCACGGGTCGACTGACTGAGATGACTGGCTGGTGCACCACTTGTGCCCCCTACTGTGCCAACCTGCTGTGCTTTAGCCACCCGGCGCTCCGCTCGTTGTTGTGAGCGTCGCTCCTCCGCCCTCCGTTGTTGTTGGAGGGCGACTACCTCCAACTGCCCAGTAGCGTCCTTCACGAGCCTCCTCCACAGAGGCCGATCTTGACACCGCTGGTACCGGTCATCGGCAAGTCCACTCAGCTCCACGTCCTCCTGTACCACATCACTCCATCTCTTCTCTAGCCCGTGCCGCGCCCCCTTAGCCCCCTCAATCCGGCCGAACAAAAGCTGTTTCGGCATGCGGTGGCTGGGCATGCGGGCTACATGACCCAGCCAACGCAGCCTTGCCTGCCGGAGGAGCTCACCGATGGGACCTTGCCCAGATCTTTCAAGGGTTTGTGAGCTCCTCACACACCTACCCACTCACTCACTCACCCACCTACCCACTCACCTACCCACTCACTCACCCACCCACCTACCCACTCACCCACCCAACTACCCTCTCACTCACCCACCCACCTACCCACTCACTCACCCACTCACTCACCCACCCACCTACCCATTCACTCACCCACCCACCTACCCACTCACTCACCCACCACCTACCCACTCACTCACCCACCTACCCACTCACTCACCCACCTACCTACCCACTCACTCACCCACCCACCTACCCACTCACTCACCCACCCACCTACCCACCCACCTACCCACTCACCCACCCACCCACCTACCCACTCACCCACTCACATACCCACTCACACACCCACCGACATACCCACTCACTCACCCACCCACCTACCCACTCACCTACCCACCTACTCACTCACCCACCCACATACCCACTCACTCACCCACCCACATACCCACTCACTCACCCACCCACCTACCCACTCACTCACCCACCCACCTACCCACTCACTC